GAGCAGACCTGGATATGGGAAGAGCTGGAGGGGGAGAGGTGGAACTTCTACCAACAGATGGGAGGGGCCCTGAAAGGGCATCAAAGTGGTCAGAGCAAGAGTGAGGAGTGTTTTCATATCATAAATGACACAATCACAGAATGCTTGGGGTGGGAAGGGACCTTAAAGCCCACCCCGTGCCACCCCTGCCCTGGGCAGGGACACCTTCCACTGGCCCAGGTTGCTCCAACCTGGCCTTGGACACTTCCAGGGATCCAGGGGCAGCCACAGCTTCTCTGGGCAACCTGTGCCAGTGTATTCACATTTCCATCTTTAGTTTTGTGTGTTTATCTCCAGTGGCCTGAAGATCCAAAGGTAATCACCTCCCGTTCTGGCATATTTCTAAATAAAGTTTGCTTTTCTTTGTATCTTTAAACTTTAAGCTGTTAAACCCATGAATGTTCTCTCAGTGCCAGACCTTGACTGGGACACCCACCATGACCAGATTAAAACACATCCTACACATGTCTAAGAAAAATAACAACCTAAAAATGGGTCTAAAGAATAGGAAGAGGGAGCGCAAATAAATGAGAAAATCACTTAATCAAAAAGATGATGAACTCAGGGCAATAAAACGAATATTTTCCCTAAAAGATGTCATTAATACTTTGCTGCACAATTTGATTGAAATCAGGGACATGTCATGTTTAAAAATTTAGCAAAAAATATCTAAAACTACTGTGGAGAGGAGTCTGCCTTCCAGACACTCCCCAAAGCACCAGACACTGGGATTAAAAGGGATAAAATCTGCCAAACCTCGGGTAAAAGCTCCCTCCTGCTCAGCACCAGGTCCTGGTGAGCCCTGGGCTGGAGCCAAGGGCCCTGCACGGCTCATCCTCCTCTCCTGAGCTGCAGCAGGGACAGAACCCCTGGACCTTCCACCCAAGAGCAGCTTTACAGAGCAGGAGGCCGTGGGTCAGCCCCTCAATTGACTGCTCTGAGCAGCTCTGGAAAACACTCACAGGGAATTCAAATGGATCGACCTGTGGCTGTTGTGTGGGGATGGATCTAATCAGGACTGGATTGCATAAATATTCTAATCAGGGCTCTCATCCTGCCCCTCTCCTCACAGGCAGGGATGAAGCTCTGCTTTCCTCAGGAAATTATTCCTGTTGTTTATTCATGATGCTGCTCTGCTGGGGGAGCTGTGAGGCACGGGGTGAGCCCTGTGCCAGACAGGATGGGTGCCTGGCACTGGGGAGAGATGCAGGGAAGGGATGCCAAGGAAGCAGGGCTGGGATTGATTTACTAAAATTACACATCCAACCCCGGGGCAGGATGAAGCGTGATACAGTTCAGAGACTCACAGGAGTGATGCCATCAAATCCCAGACTGATTGGGTGGGAAGGACCTTAAAGCCTATCCAGTGCCACCCCCTGCCATGGGCAGGGACACCTTCCACCAGCCCAGGTTGCTCCAAGCCCCGTCCAGGGATCCAGGGGCAGCCACAGCTTCTCTGGGCAACCTGGGCCAGGGCCTCACCACCCTCCCACCCAGCAATTCCTTCCCAATATCCAACCTAAAACTACCCTTTTCTAGCTTAAAGCCATTCCCTGTGTCCTGTCCCTCCATCCCTTGTCCCCAGTCCCTCTCCAGCTCTCCTGGAGCCCCTTTAGGCCCTGCAAGGGGCTCTCAGCTCTCCCTGGAGCCTTCTCTTCTCCAGGGGAACCCCCCCAGCTCTCCCAGCCTGGCTCCAGAGCAGAGGGGCTCCAGCCCTGGGAGCAGCTCCGTGACCTCCTCCGGAGGTCCCTCCTTTAAGCCAGTTTTACACAGCAAACTGGGTTATGGGCACTTGACCTTTTTAATTTATCCAAGGGAAGAGGAAGAGCCACTTTCTCCGTGTTCTTCAGTGCCATCACAGGGAGGTGATTCTGGTAGTCTGGAGCTCTTTAATTTAGCTAAAAAAGTAATAATGAGAGCCAAAGGCTGTAAGGTGAAACTAAACAAATGTAGAGTAGGAATAAAGTTAATTAAGCAGTGAAGCCTCTAACCTAATGTGGAGCAGATTCTCTATCATTTGAAGACTTAATTAACTGATTATCCTTGAAGAGATACCTGAGCCCAGAGGCTGTAGGTTTCAGGGGGGCCCTGGGTGGGGCCAGCACAACCCCCCTGGGTGCCCCCCACCCTCAGGGGGCCCTACACTGGGACTGGGAATTGGGCTCAGTTCTCCCCCCCAATAAATTTGCCCTTGTCACTTTTCTGGGTGACATAGGGAAGTTCAGGCTCAGGTTTTGCAGGTCTTTACAGACTGATTTGCAACTTTACCCTGGAGAAAAGGAGGCTCAGGGGGGACCTTCTGGTCTCACAACCCCCTGACAGGAGGGGGGAGCCGGGGGGGGGGTCAGGCTCTGCTCCCAGGGAACAAGGGACAGGAGGAGAGGGAACGGCCTCCAGCTGGGCCAGGGGAGGCTCAGGTGGGACAGGAGGAGGAATTTGTCCCTGGAAAGGGTGGTGAGGCCTTGGCAGGGGCTGCCCAGGGAGGTTTGGAGTGCCCAGCCCTGGAGGTGTCCCAGGAAGGCCTGGCCGTGGCACTCAGTGCTCTGGGCTGGGGAACAAGGTGGGCATCGGGCACAGGGGGGATCCATGGGCTGGGAGGGCTTTTCCGGCCTCAGGGATTCTGGAATTCCACAAAGTCACATTTGAAAGCAGGTCTGAGCCATCCAAACCGTTTATGTGCCATCCCTGCCTGGAGCTGCATCCAAAGGACTTCTCACAGCTTTGGGTTGCTCAGTGCTGTGGTGAAGGTCACGACATCCCCCCATGCAGGGATCAGACTCTGTGCCCTCTGCAGCTCATCCCAGCTCTGGGCAGCAGGTGAGATGCCAGGTAGGCAGGAGGATGTCCTCTGCAGGTATCCTCTCCATCCTCAGCACAGGGATAACTGCATCCCATACTCATTTTGCCAAGCTCTGACAGCTGCCAGGGACACAGATCTCACACAGCCCGTGGCCACCCCAGCTTCCCAAAATAGCCCAGACAGGGAGCTACAAACCTGGAACAGGGAGAGCTCCCAAAAGCAGAAATGTTTCAGAAATGCATCTGAAAACCAGAGCAGCCTGACAGAGTTCCTGTCACTGAGGGGCTGTGTGGGACCACACTGCACATTCTCTGGGAGAAAAGGCACAGTAGGAGGCAATGAAGCACCCAGAGAAAGCTCACCTTGGCAGCAGAGGAGGGTGGTCCCTTCTCCCTCCCCTCTTTCCAACAACAGAGGAGCCCTCGGGCATCCTGAGCATCCCCTCAGGATCAGTGGGATTGAAGGCCCTGTGGAGAGTCTCACCTGCTCTGATGGACCAACAGCTCTGGCACTGGTGGGGGAGTTTATGGAAGGGGATTACAGGAGAGCTGGAGAGGGACTTGGACAGGGGATGGAGGGACAGGACACAGGGAATGGCTTCCCACTGCCAGAGGGCAGGGAGAGATGGGATATTGGGAAGGAATTCCTGGCTGAGAGGGTGGGGAGGCCCTGGCCCAGGTTGCCCAGAGAAGCTGTGGCTGCCCCTGGATCCCTGGAAATGTCCAAGGCCAGGTTGGAGCCACCTGGGCTGGTGGAAGGTGTCCCTGCCCATGGCAGGGGGTGGAATGAGATGGGATTTAAGGTCCCTCCCAATCCAAACCAGTCTGGGATTTGATGACTCACATTCCACCAGGAGATCTGTTGCTTCCTGCTCCAAAAACATCCTTTCCCTGCTGGGCTTTGCTGCCTCTGCCATTCCCAGGCTGCTCCTCCCCAGCCCTGCTTGTGCTGCATCACCCACACAGCTCAGCTCCTGCCCACAGTTCTCCCAGTGCTGCTGTGGTTGCTGTTCACTGTTACCCACCCCTCAGGCTGTCTGATGGTGCTGCTCCCCCTTGCCAGCTCTGCCAGCCTTCCTGCCAGCTCTGCCAGCCCTCCTGCCAGCCCTGAACTGATCCCGCTCCTCTTTGGGTCTGTTTTCCACAGCACTCAGGGCTGGGATTCCTCTAAGTGCCTCTGCACAGGTGAACTCCCTCCCTGTTACTGCAGCTCAGTCCCTGCTAAGTTGCTTTAAGATCATGAAGAACTTCACTGGGGCTGAGAATAATCAAAAAATGCCACGTAGGAAACTCCCGAGAGGACGATGAGAAAACTGCAGCCCAAACAGGGTCCTGATCAAAGCAGGGAAATTCGAGAGCATTTGACACACTGGAACTGCACTTTTATGCTGCTGGCAGGTAATAGCTGCCTGCTCAGGCTGAAAAATGCTTGAAGAAAACACATTTTCCAGAATTTACAGACATCCTCCCTTAGAGGAGTTCCGTGAATAAGCACCTACTCGGAAAACATAATTACCAGAAGTAGGGCAAGGGGAGGAGGAGCGGCCCAAGGTCCCCCCAAGGGTCACAACCCATATTCCTGGGTTTATATATAGACGTCCTAAATAGCAAAGAGAATTAAGCTCCATTTGTCCTTCCCCACAGCCCGGCTGGGGGGAGCCACGGCCACGGAACAGCAGGAAAATTGGACCCTCAGCTCTCCTGTGGAACCAGATCCCACGTAACACTAATTAATCTCAGATTTGACTTTGGAAATAACTTCCCTCTTGCCTTGTAGCATCACTCCCAGGAGGTGTTCCTGAGCCCTGTTCCCTCTCCCAGTCGCTGGCTCATTATCCATTGGTGCAGTGTTCCTGTGCCATCAGCACGAGCATTTAAGCCAATTTACTTGGCTCAAGGAAAAATCATATTTATTTCATATCTGCTTTCATGGACGTGCCGTGAAATGACTCGAGCCGAGGCTTTGTTAGGAAAAATTTCCTCCCAAATCCAAGTTTGTCAATGAAAAGCTGTTTCTAACTGGCCTCTCACAGCGGCACCTCCAGAGATCCGTCAGGAATCGCTGCCTCCATGGGCTTTCCAAAGGACTTCCCTCTAATAAAAAGGGAATTTATTGACAAGCTTTCTTGGCTGTTCTTTCCAAAGCTTTTGTGAAGATATAATTGTCAAGAAGGTATAGATTTATTTGGCATCCCCAGCCAGGCCTGAGAGATTACAGCTGCACCTTTCTGTCAAACACGCTCCTTCAGCCAAATTGGTCTGAAATTGGGGGTGATGTTTATATGGAAAACTGCAGGAGACAGCATTTCCAGGGCCTTCTCACCGAGGGGGAGAGGAAAAAAGAAGAAAGAAAATTTATTTTTAGAGTCAGAAAGAAGAAAACAAAAAAAAAAATCCTCAAATCCTCTTTTCCTTGGAAAGTAGTGTAGGATCAGAAAGATCTGACTTACCAGACATGTCTGGTGGTAAGACACTGGCACAGGTTGCCCAGAGAAGCTGTGGCTGCCCCAGCCCTGGGGGCGTTCAAGGTTGGATGGGGCTTGGAGCAACCTGGTGGGTGGGATGAGATGAGTTTCAAGGTCCCTCCCAGCCCCAGCCATTCTGGGATTTATGATCTCCGTGGGGCTTGGTTTTTCTGATTTTCTTTTTCCAAATCCACTCAGCCTTTCTGATGCCCAAGGGCAGGGGGTTCCACAGGTTCCACACATGCATTATGTAAAGGATAGTTCCACTTAAAAAGAACAAGTTCTAAAATGTGCTCCTCTGACTAAAGGGAGAGCTTGGCCCTGCCAGGACAGAACTGCAGTCCCACTGTGTCAGGAGTGTCACAGTGCATGGGCTGTCCCCTGAAATCCAAAGTATTGCCTTTGCTTCCACATCTATCAGTATTTTGATTAGTGCTACAGGTATGGCATCTTTATCTCCACCCACAAATATCCCTATTTTTAGTATATTTTTAGTGCCAGCTCATTGCAGCTGCTCCAGCAGCACTGGGACCACAGTGACACCCCAGGGTTATGGACATACCTGGACTTGAAGAAAAGAATAACTGAACAAACCCATATTTTAGACCATAGAATGGTCCCATGGAGTTCTCACCCTTGGCACCTGATCCAGCAAAGGTCCAAGGACTCAGGTGAGGGGTGGAATCAGCACCAACACACCCATCCAAGCACAGCCCACCTCAGGAACCCTCACACACCTACAGATCCCACTAAAATGGTGAAGCTGGGGGGGAATCCACCCGGATCACAGATATACATCCTGCAGCAGTTCTTTTTAAAGTCATAATCAGGATTTGCATATGAAAGCAACATTGATTTGGGTTTACCCCGGGAACCTTTCAGAGAGCTGAGAACATCTTCGTGCTCTGCTTCTGCCTGAGCTCGAGAAACCTGCAGGTCAGTCACTTTTAGTGATTCCACAAAACTTGGTGTAAGTGGGAAAGAAGGAATTCCACCCCCTGCCTCCCTTGCTCTCCAACTGATTTTTCTGTCATTTTTTTAACCACTACCCCAGGCAGCTCCCTATAAACCTGATCACTGCACAAAAGGTGCTTGAAATTCTTTGCTGTTACTGAGGAATTGTGCAGCACCTGGGAGCCTGGGGATTTGAAGCATCTGAGGTATTTGTTGTGAGAAGAAATGCAGAGCACTTGCAGCTCCTGCAGCATGGCCATGGCTGGCTGCTCCTGGGGCAGGATCTGCTCCTTCCCTGCTCCAGCACTGGAAGTTCCAGCATGTTAATTTTGACCTTGCTCGTTGCCTCACACGGGCCTGGGGGCACAGCCTGAATGCATCACACACTGTTAGAAATAAGGATATTTTTAATGGGTTTGTGCGTCCATATCCAGCTCCACTGGAAAGGGAAGTGCGTGGATCACCTCCAGCTGGCTGGGGGAGAAGGCAGAGTGGTTGGGATGGGTGGGATCACTCAGCTTTGGTGGAGCTGGTTGTATTAGGTCAGTTCAGCTTCTTGACCTGAGCATCTCCTCAAGAGATGCTTTATAGAGGGATGGGTTTTATATATATATATAAAATATAAGACCCTTTATATGTTGTATAATGGACACTGATTCTGTGATTCCATGTATAGGTTCCAACCACACATCCCTGAGCTTTGAGGAGTCCAAGTGAACTGTGCTCTTCTAAAACAAGGCAGATAAATCAGACACAGGTCATAAAGTGAGCACCAATTTCTTAAAGACTAATCCTAATCTCAAGCAGTAAAGTAATAAAAGGGTTTTTTTCCCTCTCTGCGTAAAAGAATATTTAAAAAAAAATCAAATAAAGATTTCTCATAAAACAGAAGAATGATAATGGTGAAACAGTAAAATGTCTAAGGATTTTATCTTGCAGGTCAGAAAGAAACACTGGGAACACTGTGCTACTCACCTTTGGTTCCAGATGTGCAGCTGTGTCACATCCTGGGGGAACAACAGAGGGGACAGCACTGGGATGGCACCTGGGGACAGGGCAGAGAAGATGGATCCTTTATTCAGGAGCAGGACCAGCACTTCCCTCCCCACGAACAGGAGGACACTGAAGGACACTGAGAGCTGGAGTGTCTCTGTGTGTGTTGTGCACCCTCAGCACCATCAGAACCCTCCAGGCTGGAGAAGGCAAGGATCCAGGGTGACCTATTGTGGGTTTCCAGGACGCGAAGGGACCCTGCAGGAAAGATGGAGACTATTTATGAGGAGTCTGGATGGACAGGACACAGGGAATGGCTTCCCACTGCCAGAGGGCAGGGAGAGATGGGATATTGGGAAGGAATTGCTGGCTGGGAGGGTGGGGAGGCCCTGGCCCAGGTTGCCCAGAGAAGCTGTGGCTGCCCCTGGATCCCTGGAAGTGTCCAAGGCCAGGTTGGAGCAACCTGGGACAGTGGAAGGTGTCCCTGCTCATGGCAGGGGGTGGGATGGGCTGGACTTTAGGGTCCCTTCCCACCCAACCCATTCCATGACATTGCCCAGTTTTCCCTCTGGAAGGACACTGCTTTTCTGGCCAGCTCTGGAGAATTGTCCTGAGGGTTAGTGGAGTGAATCTCTGAGCCCAGGAGCCCCTTCAGCCCCTGCTGAGTTCAGTGTCTCATCACTCAGAGCTGTGTGGCAGTGCAGGCTCAGCCTCACGTGCTGGGCTCAGCCCGAGCCGTGTCCTGGCTGAGCAGTGTCCCTGCAGCAGGGCAGGGAAAACCTGAAACTGGGGCATTTATCACTTCAAATTAATCCTTCTCCAAGTGAAAATGCCTCTGCTTCCCAATTAGGCTGCTGTGAGCAATGGAAACAAAGGAAAATTGCTCACCCTAATGAGTCCCTTTGCAGAGCTTTTTGCAAAGTCATCTCTCATCCCCAGCTCACCAGGGCTGATCCTCTGGCACTGACAGGGGGATCCACAGGGAAAGCTCCCCTGTTCCCCCCCAGGGCAGCCCACCCTGTCTGAGGCTCTCCCAGACAGTGGCAGCAGTGCCAGGGCTGGCAGGGGGGGTGTGAGAGTCACTGACTCATCCTTTCACTGCTCAACAGCCCAAATCAGAGCTGGAAAATGAAAAACAAATGTGAGGAAGTTGTTATCTAGAAAGTGTCACACTTCTGGTGATCCCTGTGCAAAGCATTCTTCAAAGTTAGTTCTTCTTTGAAGACAAAAAGCTTAAGAACTTCTCCCTTCTGTTGCTGTCACATTTTACAGATGTTAGGAAGTTTGAATCAGGCAGACTTTTAACCCTTCATAGTGTCTAAAAACATGGAGTAAAACCTGTGTAATAGCCCATTCTCAAGACTTACTCTACCTAACTGCTTAACTACACCTTTACTTCACATTCAGCCCCCATCCAGCCCCCCATGCCAAACCCAAATGCTTTAAACACTCTTTCAGATTCTGTGGGACTTAGAAAAGCAGTTGCAAGTTGTGCTGGACAGGGATAAACCTGGGTACTCATGGGAAACCAAAAGTGCAGGTAAGTGCATCATCAGACTGGGGCCATGAACCTCTAAAAATGCAAGGAAAGACATTTTAACCCCACCATTCTGGAGCCCATGAAAATGCATGTGCAGCAGCCCTGTTTTCATGGCCCTACAGACTGGCTCACACCCCAGTTCCAGTTCTCTTCAGCTCATTAAATGGAAAGGAAGTTTGTTGTCATCTTGCCTCGTAAACAACTTGAACATTCATAATTGGGAAAAAAACTTACAGCAGCTTCCATTTCCATTCCTACTTCTTCCACGAGAAAAAGAATTAAACCATTGCTCACTGTTGCCTTCCAGAAGCTGGTTCCTAATTCCACTGTCAGCTCTGCCAGGGGAGCTCATTTCTCATACCCAGCATGGGTGTGACCATGTTTAATTGTAGATCAATCCAGTCAGCACTAAAACATGCAAAAAGGCTCTCAGGACCCCCACCCTGCACAGTTATTCCATGCAACAAATGCAAACACACGAGTCCAGAGCTGTGACAAAGCAGAATCAGAGTCACAGGATCAACTAGGTTGGAAAAGACTTCTGAGATAGAGCCAACCAGTTGTCCAGGCTGGTTCTGGGAGGTCTTGGAGGGGGCTGGGAGCTGCAGCTGTGAAACTCTGCACCTAAATTCCCAAATATGATGCTCCACAGGGAATATTTTTTGTTTTCTCCACGGAGGTGGCTGGTCCTGTCACACCTTCAGGGTAGTTTGGCATCACTTCACCCAGCCAAGGTGTTTTGGGCAGCAGGTACGAGCTGTCTGCTGGCAAAGGAGCTGCCTGGGCCTGAGAAAGGTTCTGAATATCAGAAGCTGCTGCAGCCTCAGCCAGCACTTCATTAGCAGGAGACTAATCAGTGACATCCTAATCGATTCAATTATCAGAGCAGGAATTTGCAGAAGCCCCTCAGGAGGTATTTGCACACCCAGAGATCCCCAGTGGGGAGGGAGGTCCAAGCAGCCCATCTTTGCTGGGGTGGAGCTCTGGGACATGTCTGGTCTGAGACCTCAGGTGATGGATTCAGTCACCTTTGAACCCGGGGGACACTTGGGGAATCAGCCCCAGTACAGCTCAGGAGAGATGTGAGAACAAAGATACTTTGCTTCCCTACGTCTGCTTCCCAAACCCAGCTTCTCAGCTTTGGGTCTCAGGTCAAAAAAGGCTCGTTTCCAATCAAAATTTGACCTTGATTCATGAGAAATTCTGGGAGGGAATCCCTTCAGCCCATGGAGGTGACCAGAGACCCTCCAATGTAGTTGTTTAGCTGGAAGGAACAGGTGATGCATTGCTGCTGGTGTCATGTCTCAAAAACCCTCCAGAAACAGGAGCAGCTTCACAGGGTGTTATAAAAATATCACTTAAACTCACTGTCACTGAAATCCGTTCCACTGTTGTTCCCTACACTGGAGACAGGGACTGGAGCCAGGAATAGAAACATCTCTGGAGCTGGAGAGGAGACAGTGCATGATCCCACTTGGAGAACAACCGAGAGCTGCAGCAGGAGCTCTCCCATCATCACCCCCAAAGAAAGGCAATCATCTCATCTCCTCCCCCACAACGTGTGCAAATTAATAAGGCTGTAATTCCATTGTTGAATTCTGATAATAACGTCTCAAACCACGAGAGTAAAGCAATTACAGAGTTGTATATTCCAAAATTACCCTCCTAACTGAGCCCTGCCTGACCCCCTCTCCAATTAGCTGCAGACACTGTGGGGGGAGGAGGCTCAGGGTGCAGATCTGTGGATCTCAGAGCTCTCTGACTCCACATGCAGCTTTCTGAGGAGCTGATCCATTATTCATTTCAGTCCCTCTAGCTGGGAGCTGAACTGGGAGCCCAGCTCAGCCTCAGCCTCAGCACTGCTCCCCTGGGCTGGGGAACCTTCCTCCTCTCGTGGTTCCAGAGCCCAGACCAGCAGAGTCGAGTTGCTGCCCACCAAAGGGGTGAGGAGGATGGGTGCTGAACCTCCCCAGGTCCTCCTGCTCCTGGAGGAGCTCCTGCACTCCCCAGAACCACCCCCCCACACTGCACACTGCATCCCCCTGGGCCTGGCCCTGCAGCCCTGGGGAATTTACATCAGATGTTGGGAGCAAATTCTTGTCTGTGAGGGGGGTGAGGCCCAAGTTCAGCCTCCCAAACCCCACCCCTCTGCAGATGCTTCAGACTTGACCAGGGCTCCCCCAGGCTGATCCATGGGTGATTCCCAAGAGCTGTGTCCCATCTGGGGAGCACTCCCACACTGTTAGATAAGGACACAACAGCCTGAGCCCCCTGTCCTGGTGTTCCTCTGGGCCACAGGGACATCAGATCCCACATACCAAAGGGGAAGGGAAGGACCATCCTCCCCACCAAGGACAGACAACTGGAAGAGTTCCACAACCCCCCAGGCTCCCAAGTCCCAGCTGTTGCCAGAGCTCCAGGACAGACATTTCTCCCTGCACAAGGTCAGTGCTGGGTCTGGCACTGCCTCCCAGCCACTCCCATGGGTCAGAGTTTGAGGGCAGAGCAGCAGGAGATGGAACTGCTCATTCCAACATTTCATCTCCACACTTTGCTGGTGGCTCTGCCTGTTCCCAGCCTGACCAAGCCCCCCTCAGCCAGAGCAAGCCCAGGCCAGCTGCACGTGAGGGCTGTAGCTCTGAAATATTTAGACCCTTAGCTGATGAAAGGCAGTGTTTGCTTCATTCCTTGCCAAATTTTTGGGTGGATCACAAAGTGGAATATTTCCCCCCAGCCCAACTGTGCTTTCCTGTGT